CCCCTCTCGGGGACCCTTGAGCCTAGTCACTCCATGGAGCGTCCGCCAAAGCACCCTAAGAGCTTGGCGGCCTCCCTAATCGCTGAAACTAATAGCGTGACGGCCCGAGCAGAGACTCCCTCGGGAGCCCTCGAGCTTAGCCATCATAACGCGTAATAATAATATGCCGGGGTTCAGGCTAGGCGCCCCGAGCGCCCAGCCTGAACCCCGGCATTGGATCTGTAAAGCCTCAAGCCCATTGGATCTGTAAAGCCTCAAGCCCATTGGATCTGTAAAGGCCCCTAAGGCCAACAGTGGCTCATCCAGCCAAAAAAATTATAGCTTAATGATATCCATTATAACTATGACATTTTGTTTTTGGCCGTTTGAAAAAAGTACTGAATATTTTGAAATGTTTACTAGTGTTCTGTATTATTATGGAAAAAGAATATATTATAATATTATGAAAGAATAGAATATGATATTTTTACAGGTTTTATAAAAGCCGAAAGCCGAGTTGTCGAAATTGGGCCTTTCTTACGTTTTATTACGTTTTAAATGTTTGGGGCTTTTGGAGAATTTCTCATTGATCTGAGCTGTATAAACAAAAGTGCATTTCTTTGATTCCTCGCTAATCCAGCGTGGGTTCGTGTTAGTGGTCCTATGGTGTGAAATATTTTTGTTATATAATAATAACTATTTCCCACCACATTCATATCAACATGGGAAATTGAGCCTGAGGAATCGGCGCTGGCGATCCACCTGATGTCATATATTTGTACATGATTGTTCACAGCCGTGGCATTTACCTTGCCAACCGATGACGTCACTCTCTTCACTCACCTTCAGTGAGGAGGTGGTTCTTCCTCCCACAAGTCACCCCCATTTATCCACTGGCACTGTTTAATAGATAAAATAAAATGCCTCCTAGACTTGTTAACAAGCTTACCAGGACACTACTTTTTTTTATGTGACAAGTTGCCAAGCGAGCAGGTGGTTCACCTGATGTTAAGCGAATACCACCGCCCATGGACATCTGTTACACCCAAGGGTTGGCAGATGCGTTGACAAACTATTGAAAATTGGGCTCCGGCTACCTCACTCACCAGACGAAACGGGAAAATATTATACTTCCACTTTACGCCGGTCTTCTGTGAGGTCGTGGTACTTACCCGGACAAGCCTGCCCATTCGTGCAACAGCCGAGGCTGCTGCGTGGCCATACCCCCGGTGTGGTAGGGCCACGCAGCAGCAGCACTATCGCTCCGTGTGAACCATTCCTTAGTAAAGCTCAGTCAACGATAGCTCTCAACGCTTACAAATATCTATTGGCCTAGCGCGGAGCAAAAAAACCCGCCCCGTTATTTATTAAACGCGATTTTCCATTAGCCGACGCGGGCCGCGGCCAATTTAATTAGCCGGTCACACGGAAGGATGCAATAATAGAACAGAACGCAAACAGTACCAATAAGGGCACGCGCACACGCAACAAGCCTCAATTTAATTTAAAATACATATATCGAGGGCTCAAGACGGTTATGCGAGCGCCCGAGCAAGTTTAATATACTTACGCTAAGATGATTCTCGTGTAGTTGTGAAATGACGACGACCCGAATGGCGTAGTCGGTAGTGTACCTGCCTTCTGCGCCAGAGGGTGTGGATTCGATCCCCACTACTGGAAAAATATTGTGTGATGAGCAAAGTGTTTTTCTAGTGTCTGGTTGTTTATATATGTATAATGTGTATTTATTTACAAAAGAAGAGTATGTTTAAGTATGTCTATCAGTTTTCTAGTACCCATAGTACAAGCGTTACTTAGTTTGGGACTAGAGAACGTTGTGTACGTTGTGTCCTAAAATAAAAAAAAAAATAAAAAAATCGCTAATCGTTTTTAACTGGAAGCTGTTTTATCACTTAATTTTATTCTCTACATTTCATTCTACTCGTCTTAAATTAATGAAAACTTAAACAAAGCCGAATATTTCTTTAATATCCCTCCCTAAAATAGTTAATATTAACACCACTATATATTTGAAATATTAAGTAGTTATTTATATTATTAGAAATGTTAAATGCTAATTGGGGTTGGAAGTTTGGTCGACCATTTAAAAATATCTGTGAGATCATGTTCTCTTCGATGTTGAGGAATTTTTGTGATATTACTTACAATAAGTTTTTAATTACTCGAGTGGAAGCCTCGTACTGACCATCGCAGTGTAGCACGACCCTCCACTAGATGCGAGTGACGACCTGTGCAAATGTGAGGAAGTCAATGGATGCAGATGGCTTAGGATCGTACTTCGTGGCAGTCTATTGGGAGGCCTATGTTCAACAGGCTGAAATGATGATGATAAAATTTTTAAAACATTTGAATCTTATCTGATGGACAGAGCCTTTTTAAATAGGCTTTTTAAAACAACATGTATGTGAACATATTATTTTGACATATTCAGCACTATCATTTTATCCAGTCAAGGTTAAAACATCTGGGCACATTTTTTTAAATATTGACAACGCATTTGCATCACGTCAGATGTGGTAGACGTACATGAGCAGCGGTAATCACTTAAACTCAGGTGGACCGCATGCTCGTTTCCAACTTTTCGAATAAAAAAAAGTATCACTTATTCCACACCTATTCCAGTTTTAACAGCGCAGTCAGACCGCGGCCCGATCCCAACAAACAGCATCGGACGCAACATTGCGGGGAGCTATCGCGAACAAAACGCAACGGTTCTAAATTAATTGCGGCCTCGCGGGCCGCTGAGGGCGATATCGCCGCCCTATCGATCATCGGACGCGTCTCGCTGTGTGCGCGTCTGCACGCCGCAACAGCGGAACCGTTTCCGCATTCTCGTTATTGGTATATTTAATCTATTTTGCCTCTAACAGTCCAAAAGCTCGGTACACATACGGCCGTTTTCAATATATTTAAAGACATTTTATAAAGTACATTTTAAGATAGAATTTTGCCGTAAGTATTATGGAGCTAATGTCTAATAAATATCGCTAGTAACCAATGAAATGAAATTATATACAAATTAAAGGTAGATATGACTAAGCCCTTCAGAGGCCCGGGGCGGCAAGTTTAAATGAGGCCCCTAGTTTTAGAAGTTGATCTACTTCTACAAGCTTTTTCTTCACTTCACATTTGTATGTAATATGTATAAGTGCTTATGTTTATTAAGTTTAAGTCTTACAAGTGTAATTGAAATACTACTTAAATACACATATAAAGAATATGGATATGGACGACGAAAATAAAATACCAATCGATCGGCAAAAAAACTTTTGTAGTTTTGTATTTGTAAAATAACTAATATGTCATTGTAGATATTATTTTCAGTAAGTTTGTTTGTTTAAAAAAAATTATCACACTGAAATAATTGAGGAGTAAAATGAAGGCATGAAAACACATAAGATTCTATAATAGCTACATTGGTTAAAGTAAAGTTTTTAATTCAAGTCGATCTTTTTAATTGATAACCTACATAATTTATTACTACTTATCTATAATATAAGATATTTTATTTATTCCTTGGCCAAAGTGAAAAAAATACTAAGTGCAATATATAATAGAAACGTATTAAAATTGTAAAGCCATTAGAAAGTTTAGCATTCGTAGTAATTTTGTTTATAAATTGTAAATAACCGGTTCAGTTTGTTTTGTATTTACTTATTCGTATATATTGGAAATGGCATAAGTGGACTATCACCTATCACTTCCCGTCACGTAAGCGTCCACGCGAATACCCACAGTGATGTGGATCCGTAGTCAACTTTTAAAAGAATTGGCTTCCGGTTACCTAACTTATCAGAAATTTAAAACTTTAATCGTTAAGAAGCAAATCTTAAAAAATAATCTACTTTCCACCAGTTTTCTGTGTCCGAAAACAGCAAAAGCTGGTGCGTGGCTTCGCTTGGTTTTTACAAATTTGTATCAACGTAGTTGAAGTTTTTATGTAAAATATCGGCGAGACCATGTTATTTTCGATGTTTTTGACGTTATATGAAAAAGTTATGAGAGTGAAATTTTAACAACTGTAAAAGTAACACTTTTGAAGCTGCCCGCTAAACCGCTCATTATAGATGGCAGCATATTCTCAATGATATTCGCCCGTTACATTCCTCAATAAACAATGTAGAGGGCACTTTCATAATTTTATTATTTATATCCTTTTCCAGTCGTTTTATTATTTTATTGTAATTAATTATTTACATGCAATTAAAAACTATTTTTAATGATGCCAAAGAAGTATAACTTCTCACGCGGGTACATATGTACACGCACCCATATTATTATATGTTGACTAGTATGACATAAAGATAGAAAATGTGGTTTTAAAATCATTTATGTGTGCTGTCTCGTACGGTGGTACCAGTATTTTTTTTATGTGAGAAAGTGCCAAACTGGCGGAGTGAGAGTGGAGCTGGCGGTTCACCTGATGTTAAGTGATAATCGCCTGCCCATAGACATTTGCAACACCCGTAGGGTTGCAGATGCGTTGCCACCTCTTAATAATGTGGGCCTCGTCTACCTCACTCACCATACGAAACGCATAAGTGCAACACTTTTACTTTACATCGGTCTTCTGTGAGGTCGTGGTACTAACCCGGACGGACCTCCCATTCGTGCAACAGCGAACACTGTTGCGTAGCCCTACCACCGTAGAATTACGTATGTAACGGCGACGGGAAAATGAAATTATTTTACACGTGCGTCCCTGTATTTTTAAGTACTCTGTGACCTGTTAATTTATTGTTGGGTGTTTTGCCTAAGATATTTTTAAAGTTCTGACAACCCTTTTTACTTGTAATGTCACTGTCAGGTTATATGTCAAACAACAAGCAAGCCAAGCTAGCCAAGCCGAAATCGTGATTAATGTTTTGTTCAAAGAGAATACCACTACGTATAGTTTTATAGGATTAAAGTAGTATTTAAGTAATTATTTTATAATAATTAAATAGACAAGTGCCATTAATTTAATGTGCAAATAGTATTACTACTCTATAATTAAAAAAATGGATGATATGGACAAATTAAGTTGTAGTAAGTTTCGTTTACTTTAAACCTAGCGTTTGATGCTTTAAGTATAAGTTGGCAAATGATTTTGAATTTCGTGTTTTAGAAGAAGAATTATTAGATATGAGCGACTTAGAGCACTCCGCTACTGACGACCATAGGGAATCTGAAAGTAAGTGTAAGAAGAAGAAGCGAAGACGTCGTGAAATAGATATGGTAAATAACTAGCGGTATTTTACATTCCATTAAGCGTTCATAAATGTGCAACTATTAACAATTTCTTTAATAATGTTTATTATCAATTTGAAAATTCAATTCTGTCTTTCAAATATCCATTAAATAGCTTAAGCAAACTTTGGCATCAAACACGTATTTTAATTTCATGTGTGGGTTACATAAAAAGTATGCTATTGTATACAACTTTTTCAGCCTGAACACAAAGCTACATTAGAAAAGCACTTAAGATGAATGTAAACCATGTTTAGAGCTTAAATGTAAATATAAGCCATGCTGAGAAAACTTTAATATATTGCTGCAATGACAGTGACAGACTTACTGGACAAAATAGTGTAACCATAGATGCTGTAGTGTTTAAAAAGTTGTTAAATTTTAAATGAGTTAATTTTCTTTTGTTTAACATTTTATCATTAATGATTTATAGATAAAGTTATCAGATGATGATGAGACTGATGATGAAGTGCATACAAAGAAGATGATTAGGCGTTTAAGCCCAGTTCCCAATTCTCCTGCATCGCATAGAGAGCCTCGCACTTGTGTGTTGAAGGTAAATAGAATTAGCATGTTATTTTTCACTATGAAAATATTAATGTTGAACTTAAAAAGCATCATTTATGAAGTTTTAACTCAGCCGTTTATTGATACTTTTGCTATTGTATTGAATGAATGACATAGAGGCCAGTAGATATAGAAGGTACATAAAACAAATAATGAAAATTTGTACCTAAAAATTAAGTAAATGCCTATGGACAAATTTTGTACAAAATTCATAATAACTGCATATTGCTGATGGTGCCCCCAGATTCAAAATAATTGTTTAAAAGTAAAAACATTCTTTTGTAGGTGACCAAACTAAAGTGTAGAAAATTTTTAATAAATTTAAATTAAGAATAGAATAATGAAAATCGCAAGCCCTGAAGGTGCGGATCATGATCACACATGATAATGGGAAAAGCTATTTAAATTATCCCATTGTCATTGGTGCCTGATAAGTGTCCAGACTCAATTTAATTTGATGCAAAGCATCAAAAGTGGGTCAAAATCATGTTTGAAAATTCTGTTAAATACATACTTAACAAGCTAATTAAAGTGTGTTAATTAATTTAATGACATTCATTATTCTATACTGCTCATACAATACAGATTACTATCCAATAAAATTGCTAACGTCCCCAGGCTAGCCAGAAGAGGCGTCCACTGTCCCGCCTTTTGGAGCAGCTGCTACGCAATCTTGAGAAGCGTGACCCGCACCAGTTCTTCGCGTGGCCAGTGAATGATAACTTTGCACCAGGCTACTCTACCATCATACGTCGTCCGATGGACTTCTCCACCATGAAGCAGAAGATAGATGATAATGAATACAAGTCGCTTAATTGTTTCATTGTTAGTCTATTTTGAATTCCTTTTTTGCTTTTTAAGTGGTTTCTTTATCTTTATCTAAAATGTTTTTTTTACCTGGAAACTCATTCCGCTCTGAATGAACAAAAATAATAAGTTTTTTAGTGTATTTAATTCGATTTATTCATGACATATTGTACTCCTCAAATTCAAAGTTGTTTCTTTGTATGTTAATGGAAAAGAAAAGACTACTATACATTTTAACAACATTGTCACCATAGATTTGTATTGATTTTTGCAATTTGTGTGCACCACATTATTAAATATTGAAGCTTGAAAGGCCTGAAGCCCTTTGAAGACTGACTATGTTGCATTGCATGGTTTTACCAATTTCTGTTTCTCCCAACAGATATTAAATGCCTCAGTACCTGAATTTGTTACATACTCTTTATTTTGTCATTGACTGGGTGATCATGTTTCTTTCTCACACAAGTCTACTCAATTCTGTCTGCAGAGTGATTTTAAGTTGATGTGCAACAACGCAATGAAGTATAACAAGCCCGGTACTGTGTACCACAAAGCAGCCCGACGCCTTCTCCATGCTGGTTTGAAGCAGTTAACACCGCAGAAACTGCGTCCACTTGGAGACATCCTCACTTATATGTATGAGATACCGATAAGAGAACTCGGCTTTGACATTGGGAAGATGGATGTGGTGAGAAAATATACAATTGTTTTAATGTTTAAGTACTTAGTTTATAGAAAAATGCATTCCTAATTCACTTTATGGTATTATTAATCTTAATCTATATTATTAATCTTAATTAATATATTCTATGCATTGTTTAATATAAAAAACATCTATTTGAAATAAAAATTAACAAGACATTAACGAGAATGTACCAAGAGATATAACAGGCTATTAAATTAAAAGAAGTTCAGCCTGGTAAGTTCAAAGAGATAAATTAAAATGTCAATAATTTATATAAATTATATTTGATGAATATTATTGGATTGTCAAAATTTTTGAAAGATTTTACAAATATAATTCTTAGAAAAAGAAAAAACTGTTTCTACTAAAGCCATACATTGGTTTAAATATTACTATAAGTAACAAACATCAGTCTCGACTGGACTGTGAAAAAAGTTTTGTTAGTATGCAAACAAAATTTATGGCCATGAAGTGTCATCAAGATTTATTGAGAATAAACCCTCTGAAAATTCTGACAAACGCACTAAGTTTTGTCCGTTTATTTTTCCACCTCTGAGTAAGTGGTAGTCAACCTTTTGCCTATACCAATTGTAACTTTAATTTCTGTGACTGTGCAAGAAAATTTGTTTAATTTTTCTTAAATATTTTTTTAAACAATATCATTCAATTATTTTATAACATTTTGAAATGGTTAATAGTTTGACAAATCGTTTGAAAATGTTCTCAAATAACTGGAATGCATGAATCCAGTGGATGTTTAAAATATTTTACTTCGAATATAAATACGAAAGTGGGCGACATGTTTGAAAAGGTTGACTACCTCTGCTTACTATTGGGGGTGCGGGTGGATTATTTCACTCGCTTTATTTTCGACACTGCGTGAGTATTACCTGACCCGTTGACGACTTGTCATTTTTGCAATGCAGCCGCTTAGGACGTACGGCCGAAAGGTTTGCAATGATGATTTATTAAGTAGTGACATGCACTTAGCAGTGTAGTGGGTTTGTTTCGCTTATTACGGTGCGCGCTGTTGTGTTTGTGGCGTCGGTAGTGCTGTGGGCCCCGCCAGTGCCGACTCGACTCATTGCATGCTCTTTTCTTCCTTGGTTCGATGTTTTTTTTTATGTTTTTGATATGTTCACGACCGGATGTCAAGTTTCCCGCCGTTTTATTGTTTCGGCGGGAAAGTGACGCGTCGCTTATGTCATAGAGGTTTTTTTCGTAACTGGGCAAGAGTCTTTTAGCGTTTCTGTCGCGTTTTTAAGTTATTTGTTTTCTTAATAAAAATAGTTTACGGATTTGTTCGCGGTTCATTTTTATTTTCAACTGCCGGTATTACACCCGGACTACCGTCACCTAGAAAATCATTATTTTTATTTTCGCTGACCATGAATGCTGTAATGTATTTGAAGCGTCGGTAGTTTAAAACAAAAATGGACCGCATTGAAATCCTTAAACTAGATTTGTTAAATTGTTTGATATTTGGGTAATAAGGAGAGTTTTGTCTCTCTTCCATTAACGCCCCCTCGCGGTGGAGAACACTTGCTCGGGCTCACAGCATCCGCCGGTAGAGATCTCGCGTGTCTCGTTGTGCATAACCGCATGTATAGATCTGTCGTGCATAAATACCACATAAGTCGACGAACACCGCAGCTAACGCCCGAACCACTCGGATACGTCAATGTTGCATGAACTTTTCGGTCGCCCTAGCGCCGCACGTCGCACGCCGTGCGTCGAACGGAACTGGACCTTTGGCGGGCATGAATAAGGTCCGTTTTCGGCCGACGGCCAAGCGTGACCAGGCGAGCTTGCACCCGGCTTGGAGCGTGCTTGATTGCGATCGGGGCCTCTGTGGCGTTCTATCGACTGGATATCGTGAAACTGAACATCGCTCGCCTAGAAATATATCGGCGCAACTAATTTTTGGTATTTTATAGAAAGTTAGTGAAAAAAATAATTTCACAGCCTATGTTTGTCCCGTCTGCTGGGCAAAAGACTTCTCTATCACGTCCGAAAGTTCATTATAGAAATAGTAGTAATATTTGGTATATTACAATATTGGAGCAGTATATGTATTCTGAAATTGTATAATATACTGATGTAAAATTGTGCAAAAATTCCTTCACTGAATGAATATATTACTTGGTGAGCGTGAGCGGTAGCAGACGTAAAACTGGCTCTTATGTCTCCATCGTCTCTATCAGATTCAAAGAAAAATGTCGTCCGAAGACGTCAATTTGTCAATCACGCTTAGAATATCACAGAGGACCCCTATTGAATTCCCAAAGCTGGGAATGACGTTCGGATATGTGCCTTATGGCGGCAGCATAAGGTCCTGAAGCGCAGCAGCCCGATCAAGAGCGGCGGCTCCGAGGCGGAGGTGGTCTCCGACGGGGGCCAAGAGAGGCAGGACTCGGGCGACAGCGTGAAGATACAGATGGAGGCCGCCAGGGAGCAGCACCGCCGGCGGCTCGCCAAGAAAGGTACGCGTGCGAAGGGGACGACGCGAGAGACAGAGACGTAGCATGTGACGGAGATGTAGCGTGTGACAATGACGCAGCTTGTGACAGAGATGTAGCGTGTGACAATGACGCAGCTTGTGACAGAGATGTAGCGCGGGACAAGGACGCAGCTTGTGACAGAGATGTAGCGTGTGACAATGACGCAGCTTGTGACAGAGATGTAGCGTGTGACAATGACGCAGCTTGTGACAGAGATGTAGCATGTGACAATGACGCAGCTTGTGACAGAGATGTAGCGTGGGACAAGGACGCAGCTTGTGACAGAGATGTAGCGTGTGACAATGACGCAGCTTGTGACAGAGATGTAGCGTGTGACAATGACGCAGCTTGTGACAGAGATGTAGCGTGGGACAAGGACGCAGCTTGTGACAGAGATGTAGCGTGTGACAATGACGCAGCTTGTGACAGAGATGTAGCGTGTGACAATGACGCAGCTTGTGACAGAGATGTAGCGTGTGACAATGACGCAGCTTGTGACAGAGATGTAGCGTGGGACAATGACGCAGCTTGTGACAGAGATGTAGCGTGTGACAATGACGCAGCTTGTGACAGAGATGTAGCGTGTGACAATGACGCAGCTTGTGACAGAGATGTAGCGTGTGACAATGACGCAGCTTGTGACAGAGATGTAGCGTGTGACAATGACGCAGCTTGTGACAGAGATGTAGCGTGTGACAATGATGCAGCTTGTGATAGAGATGTAGCTTGTGACAATGACGCAGCTTGTGACAGAGATGTAGCGTGTGACAATGACGCAGCTTGTGACAGAGATGTAGCGTGTGACAATGACGCAGCTTGTGACAGAGATGTAGCGTGTGACAATGACGCAGCTTGTGACAGAGATGTAGCGTGTGACAATGATGCAGCTTGTGATAGAGATGTAGCGTGTGAAAGAGGCGTACAGTGTGCCGGAGCGTAGCGTGTGACCGAGACTTAGCGTGTGCTAGAGACATAGCGTGTGACAGAGACGTAGCGTGTGACAGAGACATAGCGTGTGAACAACATTGAGTATACAGCGACTCTTTATACATGAAATAAAATAATCATTTAGCCAATCAGTACCGGGCATGTTATTAACAGCGAATTTCTTATCAATCATCCCGATTCAGATGAATAAAATCAAACCATATAGCATTATTCTTTATGCTTCAATATTGCTCGACAAGCGGACAACGTAGACGTGTGTGTGACGGTGCAAATAACAGTGCGTCGTCTGCAGCGTTCCCGCGCATGGACGCCGAGGGGAAGACGACCCTCTGCCTGGTCACCAGCACGGTGGAGGGCAGCGGCGAGGAGAGGCCCCTCACGCTGGGCCGCTACATCGGCAAGCTCACGCAGGGCACCGGCACCCTCCACAGTGAGTGCCCTGCTCTTCCGGATGAACATTTCACAACACATTTTTACACGACGTTTTCTAGTCCCAAACTAAGTATCGCCTGTGCTTTGGGTACTAGATAGCTGAAAATAGCCAAATATACTGTTCTTTTATAAATAAATACATATTATACATATATAAATACCGAGACACCGAGAAAACACTATGTTCATCACAAAATATTTTTCCTATAGTGGGGATCGAACCCACATCCTGTGGCGTAAGACCATAAAGGCGTACCATTAGGCCAATCGAGTCGTCAAGATCGTGGTCATCATTAAACTATTTTTAAATTTTATATTGTCGTTTGGTTAAACGACAGGTATGCGCTAGTTAAGAAGTTTTTTTTTTTTTGCTTTTTTGATTCTCTTTTTTTTTTCAAACATTGCCCTTACTTTAGGATAACGTTATCGAGTGTTGTAAGGACGTTTTACAAACATAAATTTCAACACCCAGATCCAAAACAACTATTTGTGGGTCGCACAAATAGTTGTCCCGTGTGCGAATCGAACCCACGATCCCCGACGCCGAAGCCAATACCTTGGCGACTGCGCCACGGAGTCTTTTTTTTGCTTAGAATTGATCCAGCAATGCAGTATTTTTCTCCATGACAGTGTCGTTACTTTATCGTCGTGTGTCGTAAATTACTCGTTGGCTTGTCTTATTAAATAAATATTTATATCTCCAACTCCTTCTTCCGTCCCTAGCGCCCCGCGAGGACCGACGCAACCTGGCCAAGTGCGTGAAGCCCCTCAACTACGGCCCGTTCAGCTCCTACGCGCCCTCCTACGACGGCACCTTCGCGACCCTCACCAAGGAGGAGTCCCATCTCATCCTCCACACCCTGCGTGAGACCTCCTCTATTTGCTTTGATGGAAGGGATATCTGTGTCAATGATCCTCTTCGTATTTCCTATTCATGATAGAGTACGCGTTTAGTAGTATTGATTTCTATTGTCTGAGGTATTAACATGTCACACACCTCAAAGAAATTGCAGACAATTTAATGTCATGAAATTCTTTTAGATTTTTTTTTGTTTTAAAAATGGTTATTATTTGTTGAAACGCTAGGTATTCAAGTGATGCAACTCAAAACTTAGTATTTTCTTTGCGCGGCGTAATTTCAACGCCCAGACACTTTACTAGGTATCCAAATGCTTGAGAGCAGCGACTAGCACTGAAGACGAAATCGAATAATGTGTCCGCCTCAAAACAGCTTTTGGTCTCCACATCTGGACTCGTGAAGTATAAACAGCACGTTTTCCCCCTATTCCCGTGCAGCGTCCGAAATGGGCCAGGGCAATGAGGAGCTGCTCCGCTTCGCGCCCGACTCGCCCTGGGCGCTCATCTACGACATGGAGGCCATGTTCCCGGACCGCAAGGCGCAGCCCGACCAGCCCCCGCCGCCGGAGGAGAACGTATGCACACCCTGTGTCTTGGTCCTTCGAGCAGGATTTTTTCTTTGATGCACGTGTGCTGTGAGGCTGCGAAAGCTGACGAGTTTGTTGTATATTCACGAGCAGCTTATCACGTGCTTAGCGAGACATCACCGTGAGGAAACTTGCGTATTTTTGAAAATAATAAAAAAATACATATTTCGAAGATACATGAAGTCCGAATTACAGTGGGACATATATAGGCTGTTACATTACACATTATTTTTTTTATTCATGAGCAAAAGTGAAATTTTCCTTCTAAAGAACTTACCTTTTTATGTCACTACTTAATTTACTAACCCAAAAAATTTTAGAAAAAATATGGACGAGCTTAGTGGTTTAAGCGTGTGGGCGAGAACTTCGTCTGTATCTTCTACAAATTTTAACGCTTCATCTTCAGCGCAGAGACGCATAATACGATAGCTCAAAAGTTGACTTTAGCGCTTTCGCCTTCAGGACCTGTCCAAGGTGAAGATCGACGTGGAGCAGCTGCGCGGCCTCTCGGAGCTGGGCATCGACGTGGACTTCCTGAACGACATCGAGGAGGAGCTGGCGGCCGCGCAGCAGGACTACGGCATCGGCGGCGCCCTGCGGCAGGCCCACGACCTCATACTCAAGCTGGAGAACGAGCAGAGGGAGAGGTGGGCGGCCTTCTTTTAATTTGAAACTGGCCAGTGCTCGATTGCCATCCCACCTGATGGTTAGTGACGATGCAGTCGGGCCCTCTTGGCATATAATTAGTGGTTTTGGTTGTTGAGATATACAAGTTAAGGAGATTGTAGGTGCAATCTAGTTATTATTTGATAACGATTCGGGGCCGCCTTATCGATGAACCTAGTGCTTTTTCCTAGATTTTATTGCGATTTGTTTACATTTTATATATTTTACGGAACATCTCGTAACCACTAAATATTATCGATTAATTTTTTAATTTCCAACGGCTCGAACCCTTTCTCATGTTCATGGCTAGGGGATATAAATCTGTAAAATAGTTTCATTTCAAAATGTATAATATTCGCGTTAAAACAAGAAATTAATATGAAAAGATATTACTTAGGCTTAACTTTCATATTTAATCTTCTCTTAAATTGATACTTTAATTGTTGCACAACTTGAAAAATGCCTTCGACTGCGCAATTACTGCTGAGAATATTTATTAATACTATTTTTATGGACTATACCCCAAAAAAAAAATAGTATGAATTAATATGCTGAACAATGACATCGAAGTGACATGACGTGCGCAATAGTGTGGCCCTACCTTAAGAAATGTGAGGCGCGCGATAGTGTGGTCCTACCTCAAGACATATGACGCGCGCAATAGTGTGGCCCTACCTTAAGAAATGTGAGGCGCGCGATAGTGTGGTCCTACCTCAAGACATATGACGCGCGCAATAGTGTGGCCCTACCTTAAGAAATGTGAGGCGCGCCGCAGTGTGGCCCTCCCTTACGTGAGTGTGGTCGTGCGGGCAGGCTGTCGGCGCCGCCGCCGTGGCACCTGTCGTTGTGCGCGCGCGCCGGCGCGGCGGAGCGCGAGGCGGCGCGCGCGCTGGCCGCCTGGCTGCGCGGCATGGTGGCGCGCGTGCCGCCCGGCCGGGTGGCGCCGCGGCCCGCGCTGCGCCACGCGCTCGGCGTCACGCTGGCGCACCTCGGTCGGTCGCCGCTCGCCGCTCACTCCTCACCGCTCACTCCTCACCGCTCACTCCTCACCGCTCACTCCTCACCGCTCACTCCTCCCGCCTCTTTCCTCTGCTCGGAGCCCACCTAACCGAGTCGACACGACTCACTATGGCCGATGCTTGCCTCCCCTCCTTGAGAACTCTTTCCCTTGCCCGTACTCCACTTATGCCCGGTTCCTATATTCGACGAACGGCCGTTAGTCTAATAAATTCGTAACTTTCATAACGACTCGTTGTAACGACTTCATAATGACAATGGAACTAACGGCCGTTCGTTGAATATAAGAACTGGGCTTTAGTTGAGGTAGCAACGTGACGGCCGAAACCACGACAAACTTCCACGCGGCAGCTTCTGCTGTTGCACGCACGGGCAAATTCGTCCGGGGAAGTACCGCGGCCTGAAGAAAGATCGCCGTGAAGTGAAAGTATAACCGGGACCCGTTTTTTTAATGGTTGGCTACGCATCTGCATCTATTTTATCACGTGCTCAGCGGTGAAAGAAAACATTGTTAGGAAGCCTGCATATTTTCAAAATAATAACAGAAAAAATATTTCGAAAATATGTGAAGAGCGCCAATCAGCAGTGGGCCGTGTGGTGGATTATGCCTTTTTACCTTCTATACAAAGGAGGCCTTTGCCCTGCTGTGGGACATGTATAGGCTGTTACTTTACTTTCACTTACGCATCTGCAACCCGTCAGATGCCGTAGATGTCCATGGGCGGCGGCAATCGTCTAACATCAGATGAACTGCCTGCTCGCTTGCCAACTTTTCACATAAAAAAAAATACACCAAGATTTATAACGATCATCTGCTGGTCGCACATTTACATTCCCGTACGACAGACGAACTCACGAACCCCGCCGTCGAAGCATTCTGATCATTAAGAAGATCATTCTGATCAATTCAAAGAATTTAACCATCCTTTTGGCAACTCAAATGACATTTGACAGCTGATTTGTTACGGTGGTAGGACCCCGTAGCAGCCTCGGTTGTTGCACGAATGGGCAGGCTCGTCCGGGTAAGAACCCCGACCTCACAGAACAGAGACCGGCGTAAATTGGAAGTATAATACTTCCGCGTTTCGTCTGGTGAGAGAGGTAGCCGAAGCCCAATTTTCCAAAAGTTGTCAACACATCTGCAAACCCTAGGATGTCCATGGGCGGTGGTATTCACTTAACATCAGGTGAACCGCCTGCTCGCTTGGCAAAATTTTCACATAAAAAAAGATTAGGTATTTCCTATGATGATCAGTGTTTCAGAAATGGGATAAATGTTTCTATCTACCACGAAGCAGTAACTTTATACCCCTCCGAGTCGCCCCACCTAATGAACATTGCACCGCAGACACGCCGCTATCCCTGGACGAGTTGGAAATGGACCTCCAGGACAATCGCGACGCGCCCTCAGACCCCGACTCGCGCTCCAGCCACGACAAGTGACGGGCCCCAATAGACGTGCGCTGACGACAAGCCGGACTCTTGTTTCATTTGCCTTTACCCCACCTTATATAAAAATTACCATGTTGCTTTTTTTTAATTGTTTATTTGAAACAGATATCTGTTTGTAATGCCAAGAATTTTATATATTCCATGAAATGTGAAAATGTAGATAATGGCCGTTGTATTTTCGTCGGTTTGGCAAACGGACGTTTAGCTTGGTGATTAAAGCGTCTAGACGCGAATCGAAGACGTGGGTTCGATTGCCGCAGCGGCGAAAAACTTTTCATACTTTTTGTACAAATTTTAATAATCCGTTTCATCGTCATCATTATCCAGATGAGGGCATGAAATTGTTACATAAAGCGATTTAGAATCGGGCAAATTATGATGGTATTGGGATAGTGGCTACTTTATGATGTTAAATAAAACAAGCGATTTCTACTTGACCTGTTCATTTAACTAACTAGTATGGAAGATCGAAAATCTCTAATTTATTTGAAATATTGGTCTCTAAAGCGGGACTTCCCTATAAATTGGGAAGTCCCGCTTTTAATTTGTTTAGCACATGCTTGAAAAAAACTATATTCTTTTGTACTCAATTAGTTCGGTGAATATAGCCAAAAAGTGGCAGACCTTAAAACGAATGTATTAAATTTATTTCAGTACAAAATATCCAATGTATATGTCGCAATAGCATAGATCTAAAAGTTTATATTGTCGCCGCTAGATGGCAGTAGTTTAAAGAAAGCAAGTGAACAACGATAGATGGCATTACCAGTCTCATTTTAAGTTCGTTCTATTTCAGGTTTTTCGACAAAGTCAAATTATGTAGCTAGATTTTATTTATTTCAAACTGTAGACATCAGAATTTTCAAATTACAACCCACTTTATTTAAAGGTGGCAACGCATTTGCAACCCTAAAGGTGGAGCACATGTCAATGGGCGGCGGTTATAACTTAATATCAGGGGAATCGCCAGCTCGTTTGCTACTTTCTCACATTAAAAAAAAAATCAACTAGGGGTCCAATAAGAGAGCCTGATGGTATGAGATCGACGGTAACAGCAGCGAGGTTACTGTATACAAGCGTTACAACCAATAAGGGGAATGGACCTTCGTGAAGGTCCCTAAGAACCGAACTCAGTCACTGCTAAAATCTGGGATGAAAGAACTCTCTCTGTTTTTTAACAATTGTTTTTGGAACAAATCTCTTTTAGCAAGTTTTTTGCAACATTAACATTCCATTTTTAACATGCATAAATCCCACCGACTTCCTAATGATATATTTGTAATGTTAAAGAATATTCTTCAATATCTAAATTCAAAAAACTTAAAAGAACAAAGGTTTGTGTATTAAAGTTTGTTCTAATATTAGTGATTATTTGAACAACACACACTGGAATATCGCCCCAGGTTCCTTCTAATAGAATTAATTATATTGTAAACATGATTTTTGTCCAACTATGTTAAAAAAAATGTCCCACTGATTTTCTTTCGCCGGTTCTTCTCAGGTCAGTGGCTTTTTTTCGAACCGGTATTAGTGTTTTTACAATCAATAAGTAGGTGTAACGCTTCCTCGTTGAATAAAGATATTTTATAACAGTTGTAGCATTTTTATTTGAAGTTAAGTGTGGCCAAATCCACTCACCGGCGGCATTTGGGGGCGATCGCGATTTAACGTCGAGGAAAACGTTAATAGTTCGGATGAATCGGGCCGCGGGAGTCAATTGCGTGGCGAGTTGAGTGGATGTGGGGGGCGGCGCGTGTGAGACGCGCGTCGTTTCGGCTCACACGCGCTGCGCACGCGCCACTCGATACGACCCCACCTGCTATCGATCCCTTCCACGAAGATCGATAAACCTCTCTTGTACATTATAAACACAGACAGACGGTACACTTGTACATTCAGCATCATAATTTCAGCCTGTTTGAGTCCACTGCTGAAAGCCTCCCCTACTGACGGACACGAAGCAAGGTCCTGAGCCACCTGCATCCATCGACTTCCCGCCCATTTGTAAAAGTCGTCACTTTTTATAATGTAGGGGTCGTCATACACTACGATGGACAATACGAGGCTGCCATTCGAGAACCTTTCTTCCCCATCGATTGTTGGTTCTTCGAGCTATATCGCCCCATTGCCACTTCAGTTGAACATTTACAATACTTGAACATACAACACTTAAAACACTACACTTGAACATTTTTTATCCTTACTAATATTATAAAGGCGAAAGTTTGTATGTACGGATAGATGATTTACTCTTTAATGCAAATTCTACTAAATGGATTTTAATGAAACTACAATAATATAGCTTATACATCAGAATAAGACAGGCTATAATTTATATACATATTTTTATGTATATCTGTCTTTCTGTCTGAATGTTACGCCTTCAGCCGGCAGCAGCTAGTATATTATAAAGCTGGGGCGTTTAAAATCTTATATTAAATCTTTATCGCCATCACGTGTTCAGCGGTTAATCGGAGCCTAACACTGTCTTCGGCTACGTCTCTAATTTTCTTCACAATTATAACTGATTTTAAACACTAGAAGAAAAACAGCCATATTCCTAATGGATTGAACGATTGCCTTACTGCAGAATATGATTAGCGTAACTTCAGAAAAGCGTAAAACTGGTTGGCCGCAGACGTAATCACACCAAGTTGCAGCCACCGAATGGGAATGGAACAAATTCTCACAGGCAATAAACAAAGGCTCCTCTGCACCGGCTATAACTGTACAAAGCTCGAGCTGTATCCACCCCTAGAAACCACCCCCTCGTTGCATTCACACGGGAACACTGCGCCCTGCAAATATACAACTGTTGTTCTATTATCGCAATATAGACTCTATGCTGTTCGCCATAAGGAACTAGTGGATGCGTTGTTATGCTGGGTCAATATTATGCAATACAATATCGAGTAAGTAATGTTTTTTTCATAGTGAATGGTATTTAATGGTATTGATTGATGCTCCCGCGTAAGTTAATTGTTTGAAAGCGTTTAAAATTAAATTGTTAATGGCAATTCCTATGTGTCTTAATTTTTGCAAAGCCTATCGTAAAGGCGTCCCGGGAAGATAAATATTGTGAAGTAAGATAGTTGTGTTATATACTTAACGTAAGTATTCCAGTACTGAATCAATTCGTCCAAAGTGATCTTAAGTTTAACAAATCCGTTTCATACTGACGGTACATTATAACTTCTATAAGACTTCTAAAAAGTTTAAATTAAATAAATAAAAGTTTAAAATAAAGAAAAACCGATGAATATCGGTAAGTATAGAAATTAAGAGAATTTTCCAAACTTTACAAAATCAGAGTTACATTGATAGTATGTTCATAAATCTAAGTATGTAAGGCTAAGACACCCAAAGTAATTCCGAAAGCAATCTAAGTTACCCGATCGTTGTTGAAGTTTAATGGAAAACTTGTTATCTGCTCAATTTCTTTAGGCAAATCCATTTTATCCGATTTAGGTTTAGCCCTCTTCTTTATAACTAGCCTACGTTAAAATTTACATCACGGAATCTCTTGAAATTTTACTAACTAGTAAAATTTTCTTCCGCCCCTCAAATGCATTTCACTCCCGGACCAAGCGAGTGACGTCATTCTACGTCTATCTATGACATCACACTTTTATTAGAATCGGTAAACAATAAAGAACACGCATACCTAAAGCAATTTATATGGTAATATTTTGTTTTGTTGTTATATCAAACATTTGATAGTTTAAATGGTACTAATATAATAAAAAACGGTAAAAACTGCACATGAATTACGAATAGTAAAAATATATTTATAACAGTAATTAACATGGATATTAAAGACGTGGCGAGTAGATCGAATACTTCTTTAGCAAGCATTTAAAGAAGCCTATAGCTGGTAATCACAAAATAGACCGACCTAATAATTAAATAAAATTTGACAAATCACTCCTCGCAGGCACACCGACTCCTTCCATGGATGGTTCGCGAGGCTATTTAAATTAAAAAAAATCCTTATTTTAATAGAGAAGATGACATTACACAAATATCATCACATCCAATTACACAAATACTGCAAGATTTCAAGATACTCTAGGAGCTTCCTATTGCTTCAACTGGAATTAATAGAGCATCGAAAGTTGACGGTAGAGACTAACTATTACATTTTAGACGTAAAAATCTGAGTCCGTGACCATAAACTCTATAGAAGGATCGAAACGTCATCAATCAAAATTAAATGCAAAAAATTTATTTAACAATTTTTAGTATTCGCGTAAACTCAAGAAATCGGTGTGTTAATTAACTATCAGCGCCTACGGACATCCACAACATTGTTTCAGTGTCACCTTTTGAAACTTTAGAGAGAAAGAGAGAGAGAGAGAGCGAGCCCCTGTTGCCTACCTCTACAAACGAAATGAAAAGTTACTAACATTTCTTCCTTACACCGGTCTTTCCGTAGGCCATGGTGCTTCAGCAGACTAGTCGGTCAATTCATTGAACAGCAGGATTTTCATCGTGACTCTACCATACCTTTCCACGTGAAATTAATAGAAGATACTGATGAGTTTATGCCCTCTCGTAGTTTACTCTCAACTCCTAAACACAGTGGGCAATATGTTTATGCTTCATGTCATTCATTTTAAAAAAAAACTGGGCCGATTTGTAATTGTAATTTGCAATTTGGACGATTGACCAAAACAGTACCAAGTACGGTACAACAGTACCAAAACAGCTCATGCTGTACCAATACAATACCAAGTTTTCAGAGGGAAGACGAAATTCTTTTACGAGTGGGCGAGTGTTGACAGTTTTTAATGTGTATATACTTAATATATTTACTAGAGTAAACAGCTGTTAAAATGATAATTATTTCGTAAACTATAGAATTTCATCACATTTGATATATGTTTTTTATTTTTACATACTGCGACAAGAAGTTGAATAGGGCAGAAGAATGTGTTTGTCTTGAAGTAGATAATTCCGTCCACATTTTTTTTCTATTATTGTTACAAGTCCATGGCAATTATCTACTTATTTATATTCGCTATTTAAACATGTTTATAATGAGCTAGCAAACCACAATTCGGCAATACAATGCAAAGGTATCGTACCAACGCTGTCGGGAGTAGATCAGTCACGATCTGTTCGATAAATAGACGGTCCGGTTTATCCCAACCGAAGTAAACACGGGAGTGGATTATTGATCCTGACGGATCGATAATTCAGAGATCCGTGGGATCAGTGATATTCGAAATCCTGCATATCTCAATTTAGTAACAATCTACTCCAAAAATTTATGTGCCTTTGTGGATTTGTTAGCATATACAATTTGGTCATTTCGTTCATACGACATATCTCAATCGGCGCATAATTAACATATTTTCGTCTATTCATTCTGTGGAGTGATGTTATGATCCACAAATCGTAGTATCTTAAATCGACATTGAGTGCAAAGTTATTTATACCGTTTCAGATGTATCACAGGTTCAGTATATGACTATGTCGCAAGAAGATTATTCAAATTATTTTCATTATCTTTACATAACGACGCGACCGATCTCCTTCCTAAGTAAAGTAACGTAACAGAATCACATCACAGCTGGGCAAAAGCCTCCTCTGTACAGAGGGTATTATAGGTGGACTGCCCTAATACCACGGTATATTTTCGTAATAATTTTTTTTCGAAAATATTCCTTTCCTAATATGTGTCAGAACTTTTATAGGTCATTGGGCCTGCGATAAAATTTCCCCCGTGATGGCTAAAATGTGAAATGACACCAAACCAGAGAAACCAGGTATCAGACTGGGTCTAACAATTGAACTAATAAACTTCGACAGCTGCATATTATGAAAACAAACCATTTTTACGTTTACTGTTGGTAATAAGGTTAGTTAATAAAGGTAAAATTTGCTCAGATACGACACTAGATGGAGTCACTTGTCTAGTAAAGAAGCGGCAACAGGAACTGACAATGGATTGACGTCGCCGCCGACCACACAATGGTGTCCAGCACCTGCCAAAAAGTCCCACAGCCCCCCGCGCCCACAAAAAACGGGTTAACTCCAAAAACCCATGGCGTAGTTTTGTGACGGGAGACCTCGAGTGTAAGCTCCCACTCACTTCACTCGTTACTTTTTTTGAGGTAGCTTACCTGATCTGAGATCATCGTATGCTTTGTCAATGCAATCTCGTTTCATACTCGGGTTGTTTTTTTTTTCTACGAAAAGATTGGAAATAAAAACGCATTTGTGCTACGCTACTAAAGCTTGTTTGCTCAGACGGTGAACGGTGGTTTGTTTAACTTGTTTTAACAAACGAGCTTATGGTTGCAAATGACAGGTTGGAAAATAAACACCGAGCCAATTGTGCGTGGTGAATTACTTTCCGATCGTCTGATGCATTCATTTTAAATGGTTTATGGAAGGATGAAAGCAGCGTAGCCTTGATAAAGTTTTGCATACTGAGTAGTTATCATTAACAAATCGTTAAAAGAGAAATTCAAATTGAAATATCTTACTTTTTGATTGCCAAAATACTACTAAATTATTTACTTATTGTGCGCAGTCTAGTTGATTCTAAAAATAATTTATGTTTGTTACTAGTACTAAAGGAGCCGTGATAGCTCAGTGTCTGGGCGCACGCCGTCAATTCAATATACTCAAGCAACCTGAGTTCGATCCCCGGTGCCGGCACCAATGAAATTGTTAATTTTAAATGCTGACTTTATCACGTGGTCAACGGTGAAGGAAAACATTGTGAGGAAACCTGCATATTTGCGAAATAACAAAAAAAAATATTTCGAAGATATGTGAAAATCGCCAATCCGCAGTGGGTCCGTGTGGTGGACTATTTCCTGATACCCTCTGCAAAAAAGAGGAGGCCTTTGCCCAGTAGTCGGATATGTAATAGGTTGCATGTGTCATGTTCATTATTTTGTACTGAGAAAAATTGGTCAAAATCATAAGAGTCGCTACAAAGGACGCTTTAAAAAGATCCTTAATATTAGCCTCTTACCTCCGACAGTGTAACTCTAAAGTCGTGCAAAAACTCTACAATGTAGCAAAAGGGCTCCAAAAAAGCAAAAAAAGCCGTTCCCAAGCAGCGTGAAAGAATGCCAAAATTTCTGTCGTGTAAAGATTAAACTCCTTTGATTGTAAATCCGATTGGATTTGAAAGCTTTGAAGTGATACCTTATAATCTGATCACGGTAAAAAATGCCATCTAAAATGCAAGAGCGTGACAAATTCCCCCACGAGGTTCAAACAGACGAGATTTTTAGGTAAACTACCAATAGATCGGGACCCGATAAGATAAAACATTAAAATTTTATAATATAAATACATGCTCTGGAAAATGCTAAACTTTCACTGTACTTATTAAGTTACGCACATGGTATGTGGTGAGTTTGGCACCATTCATGAGGCAAACTTTCCACTTTTGTATTAACTATGGTGCGTCGGTGTTGCCACACAAAGATAGTCTACCATTAATATGTTTATCATATCCCTATATATAAAAATGAATCGCTGGATGTGTTGCTAAGCGCAAATATCGAGAACAGCTGAACCGATTTCGCTAATTCTTTTTTTTTATAATATTCCTTGAAGTACTAGGATGCTTCTTACGGAGAGAAAAATTTAAAAAATTGCCTGAAAAAGTCTAAAAACAAAACTTTTCTATATTTCCATACAAAAGATTCGTAATGATACTTAACAGTCAATTTGAACTTTAATACCATAAAGTTTTAGTGTTAGTGGAGGGGTTTCGGGAAGGCAACACAATTGAGTGACGTTAGTATCGTATAAATATTAATACAATATTTGTCATTTTGTAATAATTTTTTACTAGATAGAGTGATTCAAGAGGAAGGTTTATATGTATAATACATTGCACCCGAGCGAAGCCGGGGCGGGTCGCTAGTTTATAATACATTAAATAATAAGAAACATAGCTAGAACGGTTTTTAGTTCGTTCTGACGATGTATTTTTAATATATCAACTTGATTAAGTATTAATAGACTAAAGGTATCAAATTTAATGAACGTCAGCTTTGATGTACACATTAATTGACAAGAAGCGTAGTAGGCTTCATTAAATTTTCCCCCTGCCTTGCATATAATCTCTTTTGTATCTCGAATTACAGTTCGTTGTTTGTGTTAAATTTGAAATTTGGGGAAAATACTACTTTGAAAACAATCACTTGCTTAATATGCAAATTGATTAAAACACGCAAATCTATGCAATGAGTCTTTAACAAAAGAAAATGTCGAAGGCAAATAAATTCACCCGCGGTCGATACGCAGTTAATTTATTCCCCGTTGTCTTATGTATTTGCAAATAAATAGAGCGCAGTCAGATATTTATTATAGAGTAATAAGTCCCAGTTGAAAAAAAATCGTCGCACGCGTCTCAATAATCCTCGAGCCTACTCCCCCCGTAGTAGAAACTTTCACACCAATTGTTGGCCGAACGAAATTGCATTTCCTAATTGCCGGCCCGTTTCCCACCGTGCGCCCGCCACGCGGCTCTCTGATTCATCAAATGAGATCACGCCGCTCGAAAAACGTCTCAACACCAACTGGATAAAGTCAGGAATCCTCTGAACGCGGCGAAAAATAATTCACGCAAAAGAAAATCGCACCGGGCAGCTTTTACGTACAGCCCTCGGACCTCTAAACGCCGCGGAATAGAGTTCGAAATTCGAACGGGGGTTAATGCGCTGAAATTTGTGCGGATAGGAGCGCCAAATCTTACGGTCGCTCTGGTGTGGTCTCCTCCATAGGGTCGAAAGTCGAAGGTCGCTTAAACGGACTGTAAATGAATGTGGGTTTTGAATAAAGAGCGGAGCGCACTGGGCGGCGGCGGCGGCGCACGGTATCCACGCGGCGGTCGTGCGTTCACTCCGCGGCCGGCGGTCGACGCGTGCGCACGTGTCGCCAGCAGCACTGGAACACGCGACACTTGTCGATAATTGCACCTTAGTTATCTATCGATAGCAATCAAAGATTATAGAACACGAGTGTCTTGGATCAAGTGCTGAGGCGTGTAGTGAACAGACAGTGGTTCAGTGATAAGTGATTGACGGCTAAACTTTTAGTGAAATAACATTATTTCGTAACGTGGTACTAATATGGAATACCACCACCGTCCTATGGAGCAGGGGAATCCCCAGCCCGCGGCGCCTCAGCCGCAGTGGGGCTACGGATGGGCACCGGCGGCGCCTGCGCCTCGTAGCAAGCGCCCTCACTCGGACAGCGAAGACGACGCCTTCTCTGAGGAAAGCAGTAAAGATGCAACGTTAGTATCATGTTTGAAAGCTTACAACATCTTAGACTTAAGCAGGGATCTGCAAGTTTTGCAACCAAGCACCAATCACGCGCAAGAAATTTCACTGGCACTTTATTGTAGAGTATTGTGGACTAATCGTGTAATAGATTAATTTGTAAAGTCTGTTACAATGTTTTTTATGCCTCGTTACAGAAATCCAAGCAGATGGATGTCACATATCATATGTCAGACAATTTTTCTTCCTTGCAAATACGAACTTATTGCTCACGGCACAAAAGCTTTTCGCCATATCATGCTTTTCACCTGACATAATTCTAATAGCATGTGTTTTTATCGGATGGATACCAAGTTTTAGTAAATAGATCACAAACTACTATCAGATTCCAATAAGAATGAATAATGTAAAACAAACGGCTTGTTTCAGCGCATGAAGTAGCTACGGCGTAGCACAGCTGTGGCTACGAATAAAATTATTAATATTAGCAACACATTTAGTCATAAAAATAAACTCTCTATATAAAATAACTAAAACAAATAAATTTAATTAATTATATATTTAATATTTTAGTGGTATAAACGTTAAATATCGATTCATTCTATTAGTTTCGCGACTGGTCAAACTATTCTTAATATGAAATATGTATTGTAAAAGGCATTAAAATTAACTAAAGTTACAAAGTTTACTCTCAACTGCTTACTCAAATTATTAGCAAACTTTGCGAACATTTTGCTACGTTGAAATACTTTTAAACTTATTTGTGTTTAGGTTCGAATCCCGCAACCCCGAAAGTTTTTGTTCATTTACATCCAAAACATTTATAATTTAAGCATATTTGCGTAAAAGTTTTTAAAATTCGCAATTCCTCAATGCTCTCGACACATTTCATTGCTGCTTCTTACTATATCTGGCTAACTAATCATGAAAGAAATTTCAAGATGCTTAACTCAATCTAATAATAAATGCTCTGAAAAATTATTATGACATGTAAAAGTAAGTCCGTTAAGATTTTATGTAATATATATGTGTCGTCGTAAGAAGAGCATAGAAACAATGTATCATAATTTTCAATTTATCACAAAAAATCAACGTAGGTCATAAAACGATATTTTCATGCTTAAAAAAAATATGTAATGCTAATATTTGTTGTTTCAATTAAGAGTTACTGCTAGATTTAAACACGACAAAAGCTAAGACACCAGACTACATATAAAACGAACATTTAATAGTTCATATAAATACATAAATAAATAATAAATAAATAAATATTTAGGACATTAAGATTTACTTGCTTTTGTCTCGTTGACCAATAAAATGACTCCTAAATTTAAGCATATCTCGTCGTTCCGAAGGTCTCCCGGCGGCGACTCGTGCCAGCTGATGACGCGGAAACGGCGGCGCGGCGTCATCGAGAAGAAACGCCGTGACAGGATCAACACCTCGCTGACGGAGCTGAAGAGGCTGGTGCCCGCAGCCTGCGAGAAGCAGGGCAGCGCCAAGCTGGAGAAGGCGGAGATACTGCAGCTAACCGTCGACCACCTCAAGATGCTGCACGCCAAAGGTGAGCTCGGTTTGGTTTCGTTGCTCGAGATAACTGCAACTGCAGCTAACTGCAATTCATCTCAAGATGCCACATGCCGAAGGTGGGTTCGGCTCGGCTCTGTTTGTTTTCGTAACTCGTGAGTAAGTGGGTGTGAAGATAATCCGCTTAGCTCGGTGGCTAGTGTCGGGCGCGTATTCCGGGGGAGGCGGAAACAAATCGCATAGCAGCGAATGAATTTTAGTACATTTATCTACAAATAAAAAAATCACATTAGGTGCAGATATTTTTTTAAGTTCGTTATTCTGTTCGGAATTACCGCATGCTATTGAGAGTTAACTTTAATCACTTCCAGCAGGTGAGCCCCTGCTCGTTTGCCACTTTTTTCCCATAAAAACAAAAGTGGGGTATCATTTTCCCCGTCCTACCCTGAATATTCTCGCGTTATATACGCGTTGTGTGGATATTTGCGCACGCACACAAATATTTGTCTCATGTGAAGCCATTGGCAGCTGCGTCATTAAATCATAAAAGTACATATTAAGTACATATTAAGTACATATTTATCATGTAGTAGAAAATTGCGATTTTCCAAGACCTTCTGTTCCAAGAAAACGGAGTGAGCTTTGATTAATACCGATTATTGATCGTAAAGTTGGGGCCAGAGAATATTTATTGAGGTCACGTTTACCATTTGAATGTCTTCATTGATCGTTTAGGGGAAAACAACAGGTCGAAAAAATCCATCGACACACTGACACAATTTCCAAGTGCAAGCATTCTAAATTTACTTGTCAAACTTAAAGGAACATATATTTTACGTTAATAATACGTCCTTTAATTAAAAGTACATAACTGCTCTATGTGAAATAGAATTTTTTAATTAATATTGTATGCGTACGCATCCCCTTTTCATATTGAGAATATTCACAAATTATCTAACCCCTTTTATAAATAATACACTTTTTCCTTTGTACTCGATGGTTGTTATAGAAAATAAAAATTTTAATAAAACCATTACATTCTTAAACATATTTTTATCGCTAGTAAGTTCTTCATCACAATTTTTTTCCTATTAAGCTTTCATTTAGCAGCGCTTAAGTTCAGTGATTATTTCATATAAATGAGATTTCATTGAATTAAACTATCGGAATATTAATATTACCTTTAGAGACTTAAATTAAGTGAAAGAAACTTCAAATCGTCGTCTGACAGTGATATTACCGGTTATTAAAGTCAAAGCAATCAAGCATTCTTAGAACACTTAAAAATCTCGCTCCAACTTAAGGGTCCATCTGGCCCACGTAACTGTGAATTTACCGCTGCGCAGAGACATCAATCAGAGTGCAAAGTACTTCCGCTTCCTCCAAATTAATAAAAGACCCCAGTAACGGTTCCGATGGTGCCCCAAAATTGAGGTTCGCTATCCTGTTCTTTGTGCGAGTTTCGGCCAAATAATGGTGGTATTATGCAATCAGATAAAGTTTTTATCAACAATAGGTTCGAATGCTATTTATGTGAATGAAATTCATAGATATTGATGAAGGAAGAACTTATTAGTTATACTATATGGTAGTCTGAAAATTCACAGTAATGGTTTATCGTATAGACCGTCAAACGAAAATATTATACCTGATTGATGTCTTTAAAGCAAAGCTGTACGATCTTTGTTGCTATAAAGCAAATTGTGACATATAACAAAAATAGTATTTGCAATTTTTAAAATCAAATCAAATATCTTTATTCAACATAGGAGTAGTTATATATAATCTGTTTGTATGCTGGAAAGGATATAACAATAGATGCGCTAAGCATTGCTTCAAACGCTAAAAAACAATGTAGATAAAAGACGTTAAGATTTTCATCGCTGTGGCTATCAGCCGTTTAACTTAGTGGCTAAAGCGTTAGGCCGCGAATGCCGAAGACGTGGGTTCGATTCCACACAAACGTTCTTTTAAAAATTTCTCAAATTTAGCTATTGATGCATTTTGAACGTTTCCTGGGATTTAAAAGATGTCGCTGAAACAAAATTGTCTCTCCAATTACAGTTTATGCTGCGTGAATGTCTTGTTTGAATGGAATGTAACTGAAATGATATTTAAAAAATAACATCCCAAACTACTCGCCACTGCGAAATGACGGTTCTAATTATTAAACTCACATAGAGAGAGAGAGACCCTTTCCGGGGACAGTTGACATTTACGGCATGAAATTGCTTTCGGAAGCGCTTTGCGGTAAATTTTTTATTTACGGTTCTACGATTCATGGACTCCTGTGCGTGTACTTACTGTATAACTAGTGGTGGTTGTGCACCACAAAATAATATTGCACAAGGGCGGAATAAATGCCACCAGCGTAACTACCAGTCAACTTCACGGTTGGTCAAAGAAGTTAAGGTAGTTTTTACCGCCTGCAGCAAAAAAAAATGTTTCTTTATATTTTTAAATTAAACATTTACAAGAGTAATAGTAAAACTATCCTATAGCTCAGTGTTCGGACGCTCGCTTTTAATTCAGAATGCTCAAGGAAACGGATGTAAAGTCTCGCTGCTCGGTGGTGAGGGAAAACAGTTTGTGAAAAGTTGTATATCTAAGAAATCGTTAAAAATATTTTAAGATATGCGAAGTCTAGCAATCCGCATCTTTATGATAACAGTCAGATATAATATTAAGGCTGACACCGAATATGAGACTGTACTTGACATAACATAGAGCATAAAGTTATCTTCTACTACGATATAAGTTATTCCTTTGTGCTCCAACTTATTATTCATTGAAGGCAGAACAGTAACTATCGTTTATTTTGAAAAAGATTTTGCTTAAAGCTTGCTTGTTTGTCAAACCGAATTGCGGTGTTGCGGTGTTCCAAGCCGGATGATATGGGTTCCAATGAATTACTACGACAGAAGACAATTTTACCGAGAGACATATTATGTACTTAAGGATTCTAATACGAGTCGTATTTACCTTACTTTACTACCAGATGTTATAATTAAAAGAGTATTTCAATTAATTCTTAACTTTTTAAACCATTACATCTTGGTGTTTTCTGCAAAGTTAAAACGTTAGTTTACATAAAGATAATTTAAACTCGGCAGTTTTTTTAAGTTTATGAAGCGATAGTAACGCTTTGAAAATAATCTCAGATATTAAACATGTAGTTAAATATATGTTAAACATTGAATACCTACCCGATAAACAAATGTAAACAGGTATTCAGATGGTGTATGTTGTCTAGTCTATAATTATAATCCTCTTCAAATAATTCTTATTTATACTCTAAACATTCGGCACTAAGTATTCATTGCGGCACCGAAATAGACAAGAGAAATGGTTTGATTTTGAATCTAGTGTCCCGTGCATATACGCAGTGAAGAAAAGAAAATTTCATATATGATTAATATTGTTTGTTTAAAAAAAAAGTTATATCTAACAAAAAAAATGTCGTCAGTGTCGACGTAGCCTTATGATGTTGGATCGTGAGGCCATTCATCAAACATTTACCAAGCTTTCGAAGCAGATAAATCCGATCCCATAGTAAAATTAAAAATTCAAAACGTTCCTATCAGTACGGCAGTAGCAATGACCACGGCATCTGTGTTTTCAATCCCGGAAGCGCGTCCCAATACGTAAGTCACGCGCGGCCAAATCAAAAGTTACCGCGACCACAAACTACCCGCCACCGTCCAGGTAGGAGGCTTCCACCTGGCGCCCTCCGGCGGCAAAAAACAGGAAGCGGCCACTGGCGCCCATCGCTCGGCTATCTGATCCCGATTCCGTCTCACTCTCTACCCTTGAAGAGAGCGGGACAGCGAATCTGGGCTTATTACATTTCGTGTGTTTATTTGCCATGATACTGCGGTGTAATATTATTTAATTTAAGGCAAAAAGACGAGAAGACACGTGGGAATGTTCTCTTTAGAAACCGAGGCTTTGTAATAGTCCACAATTGCAATGCTGTTAGCTTACGTGTTGCTGGTAGCTTCGTATTAAAACTTTTTAAGTGTCTTTGTGTTAATATATAATTTTAATTTTCCTACGAGCAGAACCAAAACTATTACAACAATAAAATAATAACTATTAGTCAAACTGTTTCTTTTAGCGTAGTTGCAGCCACAAGAAAACAATAACTTAAATGAATACGCAAAATGACTCATTGGCTCAGTACCAAAGCTATTGGGTGCGGAGTCGGGGCTCATGGATTCAATTCCCACGCGGGACAAGTATTTGTGTGACCCACAGAAAATTGATTGCGGTTTGGGCTTATTTTATTAACAAAACCAGTTACAACATCATTCATACCTTGTGCAGATTCACATGATGGGAGAAAAAGGTCAAATACTTAGGAGTCACTTTCGACTCGCGTATATCATTTAATACGCACATTAATAACGTTCGCACTAGAGCCGCGTTCGTCTCCGGCCGGCTACACAATTTAACTAACGCTAAAAGTAAAATGCCCTTAAGGCACAAATTATTATTATATAAGACCTGCGTACGACCTATTATGTCCTACGCATGCATGACCTTCGCCCACAAGCACCCTACTCGCTTGTACAAGTTGCAAATAGTACAAAATAAGTTTATCCGCTGCGCAACCGGTGCGCAGTGGTATCAACGCAACGTCGACCTGCACAGCGATTGCAGACTCCCGACGATTCGCGCACATTTTAAAGAGCTGACCAAACGGTTCTTCGATAGAGCCGAACATCATCCCAACCCTCTGGTGGTAAGCGCAGCAAATTACCAACCCGACACAAATGCGAACGTCAACAAGCGTCGCCCGCGAAACGTCCTCATCGACCCGGTCGAGGCTTAGACACGCCGGACCCACCACCGGGGGTCCCGCCGGATAACACTACACCCACAGTTAGTGCAACAACAAACACACTAGTTCGCCCTCGCCTCCGAGCTCGGCGAGACCAACACAACGCGTACACAAGGTACACCCGCGTTCCGGGGCGGTTCTCACCGCTCCCAGCCACCGATTAACTAATTGCACAGTCGACGGCCATCGGGGTTTCGGTCCGAACCGCGACCTCGATGGCCCTTAGATGACATACCACACTTAAACGTTCGCATGAGCACATGCGTGGCCTTACCCACAGCGGAGGGCCCAAACCCGTGGGTTCTGGCTAGCCCACCGGTTCTGCGTCAGATGAAGCTTTAATAGTCTCGGGACCGAAAGCACAAACATCAGTTAATACAAGAATACATACAAGACTCACATGAGGGTAGCAGGGCGATGAACTCATTCGCAAAAAGTATTTTATAAATGAGATATCACACCATTATTTACGTGACCATATATTGCCCAAGTGCATTCAGCGAAATTATACAATTACAAACATCGAAACAGAAGCGAAACGTTATTACAATTCGCCTAATCTGAATAATCGCATTATCACGCGATACGGGACATGATATCGCTAGGGGTGGTCCGTGGGAAACGCTTTCCACTCGCCGTCCCACTCCCGGTCACCCCTGCGCTGTCCTGCTAACAGATAAGCGACTTACTGACGTATAACAATGCAAACACGCACAGCTCTCGCCAATATTGTTATTATCAAGTTTTTTTTTTATAAAGAAGATGGCAAAGGACCTTGCGGTTCACTTGATGTTAAGTGATAAACGCCACCCATGGACATTTTCAACACTCCCATACAAATGCGTCGGCACCAGACGAAACGCAGAAGTATAACATCCACTTCACGCCGGTATTCTGTGAGGTTTAGGTACTTCTCCAGACGGACCTGCACATTCGTGCGACAGCGAGGATTGTTTGGCCCTACCAGAGTTAAGTCGCCAATGTTCTGTACACCCGGTGGATGACGAAGTCGAAGGTAACCGCAGTAGCCCAGTCAAAGCCTTATATTTATAATTTTGGTCGGCGAAATTTTTACATAACATTATCTAGTATATATAATATCTAGGTATATAATCTAATATATAAAATTCTCGTGTCACGGTGTTTGTAATTGAACTCCTCCGAAACGGCTCGAACGATTTTCGTGAATTTTTTGTGTGCATATGGGCCAGGGTGGAGAGTCGGACAACATCTTCAGTTTTTTAGTCCCCTAAATGTTAAGTCTCTTGTCTCTTTAAAAAATTGACTTTTTTGTTCCTTTTGGACTTCGATAATATGGTTACTTTTTGTTACAAGACATTTTACGTATTACGACCTGAAAAGTTACTGCGCGTCATTGTCGACATTAAGTGAATAAATAAACCATATACAATATTTCCTCGATTCATCTCATTTGAATCTCAGGTGTGACTCAATTAATTCATTCCCTCAAACCGATTTTTAATTCAACTAAAGGGGACAAAAGAGAACAGGAGAAAAAGTTCTTCTTTACCATTTGGCAAAAACTAATCTCCAAACAATTGAGGCGCTCACGCACGCTAAGTTCATTCCGCGGTAACAGAAAGAGGCGATTGCAGGGAACGCTCTAACGAGAAAGGGTTGCACACCTGCGTTAGAAAAAACTGGGCGTGCCAACTGCTCAAGGCGGAAGGAAGGGGATAACGACGGAATAATTGGGACCCAAGACAGTTCGGATGTCGGAAATTCTCTTCAGGATTCGTCGATTTAATTGCTCCATATACTAAATTATTCAAATTTCAGAACTTAATATTCTTTTTATTCTTTTTGGAATACATTACAGTGATGTACAAAACTAATAAAGTTGGTTGAACTGTTTCGACAGAGAGAGTTTAGTCTTCTATGCACACAATGGTAAAAAAAACTTTGACTCTAATAAAATTTTCACTGTAAGATTGATTCAAAAATGTCAAATGAAATTATGGCACTTTAATATGAAACATATACTAATATACCATTATAAAGTATGACAACAATAAAACCGTGTAATGCTACTATGCTTTGACTTATAAAGAATCATGACAACTACAAGATATTTTCGGAAAAAATGAAATAGAAAGTCTTCTCTCTTCAAAAAAAAAAGACTAAAACTATTGAAACGAAGCTCTTAGAATGTTTGGCTTGATAAATTATAAATTAGTAATCGTAAACTTGCCTCCCAAGTCGCGGGCAAAGCTAACAAAAACCGAAACACACTACATTACATTCGCAATAACACTCAACAAGCTAGTGGTCTCGTAGCCCACTGACTCGCTCCCCACTGGCCTACATGTACGACTTTTTACGACCAGTCCGCACTTCCACGGAGAGTAGCGGAACTTATAATTCATTCTTCATCCCTGCGGAAGACGTATGCCCGCTACGCGATCTCTCGCTCGCACGTATGATGTCCACTCTAACTATCTCCGTCACCCGTTGCGTAAGAGGGTAACTTTGTAGGGTGGCCGCTGTCAATGGAATGTTTTTTTTTTTCTCCGTTTCATATTGAATTACCTCACTGCACTGCTCGCTATTTATACGTAAATGAGAATGAAGGAACTAGTTTCTATACCGACGTGTTCTTCATACTTGGATAAATTCGGACAATTGGTTGGCCGGTTGCAGACTGGTTACAGAGTCATGGTTTCAAGATTTCTTTTAGGATTCGTGTCGCTTTTAACCCTCTGCTAACTTCCCCCAGATGGGGGTAAAACTATTAATGTTATTATTTGCTCCCAATTTGCCGAATCCGAATTCCGGAAATTATGATACTAGTGAGAAAACCTGGTTTCTATGAACTTATTGCATTGTTTTCGGTTCTTATTATATTTGTTAAATTCAAAATTATTCGGATATTCAAAGGCGAACGAATAGATCCATTGCATTGTAGTAAATTGTCATAGTTAGCAGTTAATTAGTATTGATTATACTTTCAAAGAAACCTATTAAATATTTATGATTCACTAACAACAATACGTAAACGTAGGCTAGATTATGGGCACATTTCGTGAGAAACTAAACCCTGGCTCCCTCTTTCCAGGCTTGGACACCTTCGCGTACGACCCGCAACGCTACGCCATGGACTACCACAGCATCGGCTTCCGGGAGTGCGCGGCCGAGGTGGCTCGCTACCTGGTCAGCTGCGAGGGGCTCGACATCCAGGACCCGCTGCGGCTGCGTCTGATGAGCCACCTGCAGTGCTTCGCCGCTCAGAGGGAGCTCGCCGCGAAGTCCGCCAACTGGGGCTACCCGCAGTACCCCTCGGCGCCGGTGTCCGCCCAGCCACAGCACAGCTACGCCGACGTGGGTCACAGACAGGACCCCACCACCTCGGCCGGAGCGACAACACTCGCGGCACCATCGTCCATCGCAGCGCCGCTGTCGGCGCCGCCATCTTACCCCCATTATCCGCCGCCCCCCGGCCCCCCAGCGCCGCCAGGTCCACATCCAGCCCCTCCCGCGCCCCACTACCCCACCCCCTACCCCCATCCGCCGCACCACCAGTACTCCCAGAACACCTCAAAACCCTACAGGCCGTGGGGCGCGGAGCTCGCGTATTAACCCCTGCAATAGGCTAAGCCCTATGGCTCTTTGTGACATATCTAGTTATATCAATTGGATGATTTCATTTTGATATCGTAAGAGCAAGGGAATAGATTAATTACTTGTCGTTTGTGAAACATAACAAGCACTTTGTATATTGCATTACGAATGCTGGATAGATCTCGCAAAAATATAATTTTATACATAGTAGCATGACTGTTTAATATTTTCTGTGGTATTAGTAAATACGAATATACAAAGAAAATGCTACTGGGGTTAAAGAAATTTCCACACAGAACGGGTTCAGAAAGCCTAACTATAACATAAATTCCATAGTTGTGACATATATTTAGTTTAAGATTGGTACACAAATACCTGAACAAAGAATACTATTTTTATATAACGTTGCACGTAATATGTGCCGAGAACCATTCGACATAATTGTTGCGTTCGATCTCAGATTTTAATAACGAAATGTCCAAAATTATAATTATTTAAAGACTGTTGATCGTCGGTTAGTTTAAGAAGTAAATTATTTAATAAGTTGTGTGATCTATATAGTATATGGAATAAGTTTATTGTGTGACGCGTAGTCAATTAAACTGGGACCAAAAGCGAGCTTTAACGGTAGATATTACGTGAGTATACAGGTTAACATAAGTCCGGACCCATCTCGAATATTCTAAGGCTAAAAAAATAAATAGCTAATAGTTAAAAAACCCTAGTACAACTACTTTATTTAATGCTTATTTTAATGTAGGCAAAGGTGGTTTAAATACGTCCTCGATTATCAATTTTTTTCAGATTTTTAATCTGAAATTAAGCCCAATCGTGATATATTCTTAACATTATCGCTTGAAGGTTGTGAAATCGTATTAAAAGTTAGTTATAAGCAGCAAATGTAGTAAATGTTATACCAATGCTATCAAATATTGTCAATGAATGTAATAAACTGAAAATATCCGTCAGAATATTATTTCAAACTGATTTTAAAATGCACAAAAATTAAAGTTTTCTACCGGAAAAAAATGCTAGTTGCTTGATTGTGCTTTACACAAAGAGCAGTATTAAATTCTCGGTTCTGACCCAAAGTTATGTGTTGTGTTCCAATTGATGTAGCAGACGCCTCCTGCCTGTCCTAAATATTTGTAAATATATGTACATAGATATTTCCAGAGAGTTTAAAAAATAAAAGAAATAAATTATTTTTCTATACTGAATGCTTTTTGACTTTAATTCAACCTCGAGTCGAGTAGATCAACGATTCATTATGTGAGTAGTTGTCTCTTGTTCCGCGCCCCGGGTTCCAGTCTCAGTGAAGAGGGTCATAATATGGTGGGCCCAGGAATGAAAACATGAGTTTTCTGTATTCTGGATTATAACATCTAATATTTGCTTAATTCAACCATCAATGTATTAAATTTTTGTTTTCGCAATTAAAATACATCACGAAATCCATAATGATTGCCTGAAAATACTTTTCAAATTTGTTTTGGTGGTTGAATGGCTTTATTGTGTTTCCTCAATGGGAATAACAAATAAGGATTTGAAGAAAAACAAGCGATGGTTTTAATTTTGACCATCCAGTCAGAAAAGTTCGTCCAAAGATATATAAGGCTTCTTAAGAACCACTGATGGTTTTCTTCGTATACGACGACATAATAACATGAAAAAATCCTTATAAAAGTCATTATTATGTATTTTAAACCACGTGCACGGTATAACTTGGATATTGACACGTGTCAATGCCACAGATAATATATGTAACAAGGTGAACCGTTCCATTTTCGCAGTCCGCTGAGCCCTGGAAAAACAAAAGAAGGACACTGACTAATCGACGAGTAAATAGGCTGCCAAGCGTATTAACACGAGTTATTTTAAATTGAAACAGATTGAGACAAAATTATATCCAATATGCGTGTTTGTTTATGACGATTAAAAAAAAGTACGATTACTTGTTACAGAAACTGAGGCACCCAAATTACTAATATTACAATCCTATAGATTGCCATCTCTTTCCATTTCATACGTTCTATGTCATCTGTCAAACTTATATATATCATAATATAATGTAAAGTATGGTCATGCGTCATCAATATTATTAAACATCATTGCCTAATACACAACTTTTAACATTTAATATTTCATACCTAAGGACAATTATCTGAAATAATAAAAATGTACATAATTAATACACGGTATGAACCCATGTGCAAATCCAGCTTCAAGTGGACCTGTGCTGTATTTGTCCATTTTCGTTTTGGAGTCTCATAAATTCAGCATGTGGCAGTAACGTAATCTATTAAGAAGCAAAAACCATAATTTTGTTTATAGAAAATATTTTTTTTTTGTTGACTCTATGTCTGAACCCGCCTTATACAATCTCCAGGGTTGAAAGCAAGAATGTTAGGAACAAATGTAAGGAAGGCTTTTCTTCTACGTCATGTTAATCAGCGATGAGGCAGTTATTGGAATTCTTATTTGCTTCTGCGTTTGAAACGAAAAGCCTGTCTCCAATTTCACAAAATCATCGTAAAACCGTATTCATTAGAACGCTACCTAATATCAAAAACGCCAGACTTGTAGTAAGGTCAGGTGAGCCCCGTTAATTGCGCCAACGGTCGTATTAATTAACCGACGTACATTAACCGCGTGTTATTGCGATTAATATCGCATCGCACAGGTGTCGCATACAAAAAGCGAAATCGACTTTTACGCTGGCCGCCCGTACGGTGGCCATGCGACCGGAAGAGAGGCGGATTTGGCTCGTTTATTTGTATGCAGTTTAATAATCAGAATGAATGTTTTATTAAATAAAGTTTGGTAAATTTGTAATTAAAGAACCACTATTTCGAAATAAAAATTTTACAATAATCTTAAACTGCTTTCAAAAGTAACTCAAAGAAACATTAATCATACCATAAATGACTAGATGAAGAAAAATATAAAAGAATATACATAATATTAACATTCGGTGCTATCTATGCAATATGATGAATTGATTCTATTATAGACAGGATCACTTTTCTAAAAGTTCAGCCAGACGATCGTTTCATTGAGATAACGAGATTCAGAACCAAATGAACCGTAATATAAAGTCACGGACATGTCCCGTCACGTCGCGTGGACACCCTCGCAGCCAGATGTCCGACGTATTTACAAAGACCCCGAGTGAATAAACATTACTAGGCGGTCCCAGTTCAACGATCGTATGGGATATCGCAACCCCTGCGTTTCCCACAAGCGTCCCGCTCGCCCCCGTAGCTAGGCAATGCGCCCGTCTCCGCCCGTACTTCCGTAGGAAGCGCGGGGTGCAAAAACAATGTTTTTTCCTAGTTCGTGTGCGCGCCGCGCGTCGGCATTCGGATACTGTTCGACGAGTGTGCGCCCGATTTTTTGCTCCAGCCGTAATCTTGGGTTAAGCTCGAAGTTCCGGGTTCACGAGTCAGGATGAGATTTGATTGGGACGAAGAGAATCGTGAAATATCGTTTTGCCTGTTTATAATGCGAATGAAAAAAGTGTTGCTCAACGAACCATACATCCAATTTTTCGATTGGCTATTGGAAGATATTTATAGATGTCAATAGTGCTAACGTTGGCTTAGTCCAACTTAACACTGAGCAGATACCTTTTAGATCAAACTTTTCAATATATTAGTGTCATATTTTTTGTCGTTTAGGTTATTTAATTTTATGTGTGGTATTTATTACTCTTATCCTGGCGGAAGACCAACAATGATGCCTCGAAGATTGGCCTTTAGTTCGAGTATTGATCGATTTGGGCTTTATTTCGTGATTGGTTACCCACTATGATAAACTTTTGCAGAGGTCCTGTAATGAGGTTACGAATATCCAAGGGGGATATGACTCGGTGGTAAGCTTTTGGCTTTACTACCCTACCTAGGTGAGATAATAGGTTGAAAATGAGGGGATCACTTGCCATTGAATCAGGCATTAGCTCAGTAAGCATCTTTCGTTTAAAACACCAACTTGTACTCCACATTTTACCGTATAATGCGATGGTAGAGAGCGCTCGCATTCAGTTGTGACTTTGAAACTTTTATAATTTGCTCATAGCTGCCAATAAGTTCTCACGCTTATTCAAGTTAGAAGACGCGCTCAAGTTCATTTATTCATGCACGTAGTCACCGATAACTCGTTAGTTAGACGCCGGTCATTAATGGCTAAACTCATTGCACGTGAAGAATAGAGATAACTTTCTGTCCTCTCACTTTTATCTAATATTTGGAAACGTACACATTTTAGCTACTCGTCTATCGCTTTATTTACACTTTATTAAGAGGATTTTAAAGTAGGCAATTTCAACTTATTTAGTTAATAATAATCAAGGCCCTCTTTGGCGACATAACATAAAAGCAGCGTTAAAATATTACAATTTACGCCTATAAAGCCTTGTGATGTCGTCACGGGTTCAATTCAAGTGTCGACCAATCTAGCAAGATTTTTTTATTTTATTATTTTTTTTTTAACATTGCCCTTACTTTAGGATAACATTATCTTGTGTTGTAAGGACGTTTTACAAACATACATTTCACGCGGATAAACGCCCAGATGCGGAACAACTATCTGTGGGTCACACAAATAGTTGCCCCGTGTGGGAATCGAACCCACGACCCCCGGCGCCGAGGCCGATACCTTGGCGACTGCGCCACGGAGTCATCATTCATCATAAGAATGAACTAAAACTGTTATAGCGGCAACAGTAATCAAACATTAAACTGTAAATACATCATCTGTGAAAATTTCAACTGTCTAAGTATCACGGTTTATGAGATACAGCGTGGTGACATACAGACAGACAGACAGCGGAGTCTCAGTCATAGTCCCATTTTATGCTTTGGGTAAATAAATAAAATAATATAAATTACTAAATGTTGAAGGTTAAGTTTGAGGTACATCACCCATTGTACTCGTACTTACATTAATAATTCAAAGAAAGTTTTAAGGTAAAGAAAAGAAGAATTGAGACGAGACTGGAAGAATTCTTTCCCAAT